GAAGCGACCCCTTCCCAGCCCAACCCACCAGAATAAAGACAATCACATCAGACACCTAATGTATGAGCACAGACCACATTCAACAGCTTCTGCTATGAGACAAGATAGTTAAAAGCGGATAAAGGTATGAATTCAACATCCAGCTAAAATCTAAGTCATAAATGAACTGTAAAAGCTCCACTCCCTGAGAAAAGGCGTTTTCCCATGGGATACACCCAGACACCGAGAACACATTTGACAGTCATTGGTAATAACTGGCCAAGGACATTTTGAAAATCCTAGGTCTGGGGCTTGCTGCATCACCTACACTCAAAGTCAACTTAGGAAGTCAATTGTTAAAGGAGTTGAGCGATAATTGTTTCGGAAGGGAAAGAAAAATCAACTTCTGCTTGCAGCTCTCTCACTAACCTTCTGGAGGAATGTGAGTGTGGCTTCCTGCTCAACAGGAGGGTGTTGACAGAAGTGCAGAGAGCCCCATGCAGATTGCAGTGAGCGCTTATCACAGCTGCTCCACAGGGCAGGAGGGCAGCCCCCGACAGAGTCTGCAGGGAGTGCTTTCCTGCCAGGAGAAGGACAGAGGCCCAAATCCTTCTAGGGAGGCAAACGGGTGACTGGAGAGGAAAGGCTTTGGAGTCCGTTTTCCTTAATAGCTGTGGACTTTTGGCAAGCTGCTCTTCCTTCAAGTCTCAATTTTCTCATGTATAAAATGGGTCCCGCAATACCCACTACTGAGTGTGGTTTACAGATGAATGAAATCACAGATCCACAACACTGCACACAGCAGAAAAATCAAGAAATGTTGGCGCACAGGGGGTTCCTCAATGGCTCCCTGCAGATAAAGTGTTTGGGAGGAGTTGTCTTGAGTTGCAGAGGGCCAAGGCTGCCCCTGAAGTGTCCAGATACACCTGACACAGGTGATGAAGGCCAGGCAGACTAAGGAATGTAGCTGGACTCTGCAACACCTCTCCCATCGTGGAGAGACTGACAACAATTGCAGACTCTCCAGAAGAAAGCTTAGAGAATCCAAACTGTCCAAATAAGCCCAGTGCATTTCCAAACACAGGACACCAATGGATACCAGAACATCAGACTTACACCCTCTTCAGGATTTGGAATTTGGGATCCCTGTGAAAGCAACCAGTGGCATCAGCCACATTTTCAAGACTAGAAGGAGCCACATGTGGCAGAGAGTAAGCCAGGGAACGGCAGAACTAGATGTGAAAACCAGAAAGTGCTGCCTCCATCCCACAGGTTCCTTGCTACATCTTAAACAAAGCTGAAAGGCGCCGGATTATCACCAGGAGTTCTTCCCTGGTCAGTCAGTGCATGTGCCCAGACACCTCAGGGCGCTATTGACCATCTGGGCTGAAACAAAGCCTTCCGCAGAGTGCTGACGGGGCCTAAAGAAGACCGTTTCCTATTGTGTCTCCCAGTCGAGGCTTTGCAAGTGGTAAGACTGGGACCAACGGAGCACTAACGTGTATCCCAAGCGCACTCGCAGTGAGTTTTGTATTAAAAAGTCAACTATCTGGGGCTTTATTCATCCCATTTCTTCATCTACCTACTACACGCGTTGAAGTAGATAAAACTGGAATAAACGCACTAAAATATTTTTCATGGTTCTCTAAAAGTCTATTTTCTTTCTATCTACCCCAGCCTCAAATGAGAATTTTTGTTTTAGACATGGAGCTCAGAGGCCTCGTGGGAGAAACCTCCCAAGTATCATGGCTAAGTGGAGAAACCTAAAATGAAAATCCGAGGAATATCCCAACTTACATTACCAACAATTTAGAAAAATGAAACGCATAGAGTCACTGGTTTCCCTCCCTATTCAATCACAGCCTCGTAGGCCAGCTAGAAAAAAAACTTGTTTCCACTCAGAAGGCAATTTAGGACCACCTGAACCAATACAGTCCCTGGCATGGCCTCTGCTCAAATTATGGAGAGACTTTCATTCTATCAGATGTGGTTTGTACTGATAGTTGCCAAAGCAATTAGCCAACGGGGAGCCAAGAGGGGAGTCAAGAGGGGAGCCGCCAGTCATTGTGAACCCGCGGTCTGATTTGGGGGCCTCTCCTGGTGGCGCAGACTGTTGAGCATCGCACTTGAGGCTGTCCGCAGGCTCTGCAGTGCCAGTTTGATCCCGGCCGGCCTGCGAGGGTCCCACAAGGCACGGCAGACCCCTCCTGTCGTGTCCGCTGCTCCCCTCAGCAGTGTATTTTGTGAGTCTAAGAGTTCTATTCCCCTCTCTGGCTCTTGGGGATCCTCTCACCATTCCGCACATCTGGCCTGTACCCCGGTTCTTGTATATATAATCTTTGAAAAAAAATAAATTGAAGGGCCTCCCCAGTGGTGCAGAGGTTGAGCGCTGGGTTGTGAAGCTGCCCGCAGTCTCTGCAGCGCCGGTTCGATCCCCGGCTGTTCCCCGGCCACCAGAGGAGGGTCCCGCATGGCGTGCAGACCTCTCCTGCCGCCCGCTGCTCCCCTCAGCAGTGTCCTTCGGTCCTTCTGCCTGCTCTGCTCCCCGCTCTGGCTCTGGTGAATTCTCTCGCCCTCCCGCGCTTCTGACTGTATCCAGTGCTTGTATAAACAAGCAAACAAACAAACAAATAAATAAAACATGCTTCTATAAAAAAAATAAAAATAATTTAAAAAAATAAAATAAAGATTTGCACCCAGGAAGCCACCTGATCCACTTTCTTTTTATTTATTTATTTATTTAAAAAATATTTATTTATTATTTATACATGCACTGGGTACAGTCAGAAACGCGGGAGGGTGAGAGAATTCACCAGAGCCAGAGCGGGGAGCAGAGCAGGCAGAAGGCCCGAAGGACACTGCTGAGGGGAGCAGCTGGCGGCAGGAGAGGTCTGCGTGCCATGCGGGACCCTCCTCCGGTGGCCGGGGAGCAGCTGGGGATTGAACCAGCGCCCCAGAGGCTGCGGGCAGCTTCGCAACCCAGTGCTCAACTGCTGCGCCACCGGGGAGGCCCTGATCCACTTTCCTCCAGAAAACGTTTGAATTTAACCTAGTGGAAAAGAAGCGTGAGCACAGAGGGACTTTGCCTCCCGCCCTTCGTGACCTAATCATGTGGAGGGTTTATCTCCTCATTTTTTATTTATACATACCAGAACTGGGGCACAGGCCAGAGGTGTGGGAGGGGAGACAGAGCAGGGAGCAGAACAGGCAGATGGACTGAAAACACTGCTGAGGGGAGCAGCAAGCAAGGCAGGAGAGGTGTGCCACCCCAACTGGGTTTCTCCCTGGTGGCCTGGGATCAAACTCATGCTACAGAGGCTGTGGATAGCTTCATAGTGCTGTGCTTTATCTCTTGTGCCACCCAGGAGACCCCACATCATTCTTAAAAGATGTCAGTGTGAGCTATCCTGATTTTCCCCGAAATGGAATAGAGGGTGCCTCCATCCTGCCAGATACTTCCTGCAAACATCCCCATTTTAGAAGTAATTGCCTCTTCTCTGAAAAATAAGCAACTGCTGCCCAGGCCAGTGACATCATAAAATGCTTCCCTACACACACACCCTGCTCTCCAGAATGCACGTAATATAAACACACACCTACTTACCCCACCCCCCGCAACCAATCTGTCATTCCTAAGTGATGTCTCAATGTACTTACATGTTGGATTACATATATATCAAATCTAAGACAATGTCTGTTTGAAGGCCACTAAAAGGTCAATACTGTAGTGTTTCAAAGATCCTGAAAATTGTATTGCTGCAGGTAAACCAAAGGCAGAAATACAGTGAGTATTAGTTAATGGAAGTAACTAAGTATTATCAATTGTCAGCTCTATGGAGATTTTATCCAGGGCCAACCAAGGGGAGGCCCCTAGACAGGAGAGGCAAGACAATTTCTGCATGTGAAGTCATGTGAAGAATTTATATTTTTCTTGTGATCATGCAGAGTGTTACAACAGAGGATAGCAGGAACCTCTAAAAGAGGGTCTAGTGTCACTTCAGGGTCCCCAGAGATAGTTTAGGTACAAAAAATGGATGGCAAAGCACCAATACCATGAAGTGTTTCGCAAAATTCTTCAAAATACTCTGGCATTATTTTGAAAGCACTCAATATTCTGGGCTACTAAGAGAACAAAAAGTGTGTAGTTATTGAAAACAGTCAAAACTATTTCAGATATAAGCTATCGAGAACAGCGCCTGCTGGTGATGTAACATTGTGTAGACAACCACCTGATTGTTCTCATCTGTTACAGAAAGCCTTAAAATGGAGGAATTGGTTAATGCTGATGGGGGACAACTTATGATTAAGTACATGTCCAGATGACTACATTAAAAATCAATAAGCATGGGCCTCCCTGGTGGCGCAGCGGTTGAGCGCTGGGTTGCGAAGCTGCCCGCGGCCTCTGCGGTCCCAGTTCGATCCCTGGCTGCTCCCCGGCCACCGGAGGAGGGTCCCACATGGCGCGCAGACCTCTCCTGCCGCTCGCTGCTCCCCTCATCAGTGTACCTCGGTCCTTCTGCCTGCTCTGCTCCCCGCTCTGGCTCTGGTGAATTCTCTCACCCTCCCGCGCTTCTGACTGTACCCAGTGCATGTATAAACAAACAAAAACAAATAAATAAAAATACATGCTTCTTTAAAAAACAAATCAATGAGCATTATTAAAATATATATATATATATATAAAGTTCACATATAGTCTAAATAAGACATTTAGATAGCACTGTATGCTATTTCATAAAAGTCAGGATTCAGGCATGTAAGACGCATTCTGGACCTTCTGATACCAGAATCCCGTAGTGTCAAACACAGAGCCTCTTTATTAGCTAATGTGAATGGATGAGAATTCCATGCCCTTTTGTGAAAGTCACCTGCTCTTTCATCATGTGCCTGTGAAGATTTCTTTTGGCAACAACATCAAATAATATTCATGATCTCTATTACTACTCTGAAGAGACATCAGGACTTTAATAAACTGTCAATGTATTCCCTAAGGACAAAAGGATGAAACGATTTGAACTTCAGCATGTTTCTCTGTCTAATTTCTATGCCAATTGGGTGATTTAGATCAATCTTTTGAGTCAACCAAACAGCATATCCATTCACATTTTCTTCATACATGATATATGACACCACCTTAAATTTGCAGGAGCAAGTCAGATGTGAGCAAATCCATCCATTAGAGAAGGATCCCTTAGATGTTTGAGGCAGCAACAATCAAACACATGACGTGACGTACATGAGAAAGTCATAGAATGAAGTAATTTAGGCGTGAATTACATTCATCATGTCTATTCATATCTCAAGTATGGCTGATAAAAAAGGACATAGAAAATAACTATACATGACCCAAACCATTGTCTTCAAGTTTTATTTATGTTTTTTAAAGATGTATTTTTATGCATACAAGAACTGGGGTATAAGCCAGAGGTGAGGGGGGTGAGAGGATTCACCAGAGACAGAGTGGGGAACAGAACAGGCAGATCCACTGAAATACACTGCTGAGGGGAGCAGCAGGCAAGACAGGAGAGGTCTGCTGCTCCATGTCGGTCAGCTCCCTGGACAGGGATCAAACTTGTGCTGCAGTGGCTGCCAACAGCTTCACAAAGCTGCAACTTAACCCCTTGCACCACCAGGGAGGCCTCCTGAACTTTTAAATTATGCTAATATTTAGTGTTTTAATCTTGTTTTATGCTCCATGACCATATTCTCATTTTAGGTTATGTCTGGCCAAGTGGAATTAACTTACTACTGCACTGCAATGTCTCAATATGCATCTAATTTTCATTATAAATTACTTTCTCCTATTTTTGCTTCTTTAAAGTTTCCAGTATGAAAATCTGGTGGTTTCATAATATATATTTGGACAATCCATTGGTCACTTTCATTTACGGGTTCTCTCACTAGGCACTCTGATGTTTAGGATGATTTGACTTCTGGATAATCACTGCCACTTCTGGTGAAACTTCTGGACTTCTGGTTAAAGAGACTACAGTAAAAAAATGACCTTTGAATTTTAACATTTCTCTAATGTGAATTCTGTGATGTAGAATAAGACTTGACTTCCAGTTAAAGGCTTTGCCACAGTTCACATTTGTAGTTTCTTCCCAGTGTGAATTCTATGATGTTGACTAAGATATGACTGTTTTTTTAAAGGCTCTGCCACATTCTTAACAGTTCTAAGGTTTCTCTACAGTATGAATTCTGTGATGTCGATTAAGATGTGACTTCTGGTTAAAGACTTTGCCACATACTTTACATTTGTAAGGTTTCTGCCCAGTATGAATTCTATGATCTTGAATAAGTTTTGAATTATTAATAAAGGCTTTTCCACATTCATTACATTTGTAAGGCTTTTCCCCAGTATGAAGTTTGTAATGTTTAGAAAGATTTGACACCCAGTTAAAGGCTTTGCCACATTCTTCACATTTGTAAGGTTTCAGGCCAGTATGAATTCTCTGATGCCGACTAAGACTTGACTTCACCTTAAAGGCTTTCTTACATTCTTCACATTTGTAAGGTTTCTCACCATTATGAACTCTCTGATGTTGGGAAAGGTGACACAAATATAGAAAGGCTTTACCACAGTCTGGACACATGTAAGGCTTTTCTCTAGTATGACTTCTTAGAGGTCGAGTCAACTGTGAATGCCAATAAAAGCCTTTACCATGCTCTCCACATTTACGCCGTTTCTTTCTCTGATGTTCATTAAGGCTGGAGCAGCATGTGTTATCTTTGCTATAATCTTTACAATTGTAAGGTTTCTCACCAATTGTCTGATATTGGAGAAGGTTTGAGGACTCCTCAATAGGATCCTGTGTAGATTTTTCATCTTCCTTTCTAATTCTCTGATGTTGAGAATGATTTGACACAAAGTTTAAACCTACCCCATGGTGACAATGTTTTGAATAATCATTTCCATTATGGACTAGGGGACTTCCCATATGTTCCAATATTCCTCTCTGAGAATGTGTATTGGTAAAAATGCCACATGGATCTCTGCTAACAGAAACATATTTATCTATACATGCAACACACATAAAATGGAGTTTTACCCAACATGGTTTACACACTGGATCAGTTTTTGCAGGAGAAATTTTACTATGGATAATTGTCGCTGCTCGGCCATCTTCATCGCAACAACTGTTGTGCCCTTCACATGCCTCTTGACATGTCTGATCTTTCAATAATTCTAAATTCTCAAAGGTGTCGATTCCATCTCCTCCCGGTCCCACATTTAGGAATAAATCTTCTGTGCCTGACTGTGGTATGCAGTCCTGGTCGTCTTGAGAAGACATGGCTGGGAGACAGCAAGGAATAATTACCGCACTCACAGCACTCAAGACAAAATAAAATATTTTAACTATTTTATACACAAAATTAATACCAAATAAAGACCCCCGGCCTGATGTTAGACAGGTAACATGAGCACTAGACAGCAACACACATGCTTATAAAAGGTGATGTCCTCAGGGAAAGGTAAATACATAGCAAACAGAGAAAAAGGTATGATATAATCCTATAGCAAAAATACTGTTTCTGCTTGAGAACTTAGAAATGTTAAACAGTTGGGTTTTGGTATGCAGTTGAATGTAATTGTTTTCAGTTTAGATAAGGCTGAATAACTTTTCAACATGGTATATAATCCCCATGTGACAAAAAAGATACCAGTAAAATACATGGAAAAGGAAATGAAAACAGAGAATGATGTCATATGTAACAGGTTGGGTGACAATGCTTTACAATGTTTGTAAATAGGATTACAAACCAGTATACCTCAATTAGCATATAAAATGAGAGCAACTGGAGGGAAATCACCCACAAGAAAGGAAGAGAGGAATAATACAGAGCTGTACTAGGGAGGAAATGAGGTATAAAATGGCTGAGAATACAGGAATCATTTTTTAATAAAGTTAATGCCTTCCTTTCAGAAATTCTTTGTGTGTAAATTAATGAAAAGTCCACATGAAAATGACAAATATGTCTGAAGGAATTAAAAATAAGACCAATTCAATCTTACCTATATGAAACTCAACACAGACATCAGCACACCATGTAGAACGTAAGGTTGGAACTAGATTCTATGAAAACTGATCCATGGAGTCACGTTGATCACACTAATATCAGAATTATATGATCTGAGTTTAAAGCCTCACAGGATGAAAAGAATGCCCCAAGAACATAACAGAAAACTACATGTATTGGGAAGCACTGTAATATAACACATGCACTAACATGAGGACCTGAATGTGTGCAGCACACAAAGACAGAACTGAATGCAGAAGAGGAAAACATAAGATCAAGGAGGGGTTCAAGCCCCAATTGCAACTGGAAGGAAAATAATGGTATAAATTCAGGAACCGGAGTTGACAAACAGGGTGAAAAATAATTCTAAAGAAAGGTGTGGTATATACACAGGGTGGAATACTACTGAAAAAGGATACATCTGGCCATTTGCAACGACAAGGATGGAATATTGGGGAGGATGATGCTCAGTGAAATGAATCAGAAGGGGAAAGACTTACTGGATGAATTCACTCCTGTTTGGAATATGGAGAAACAAAGCAAAGAAACTGACAATACAAACCAAAATGAACTCGAGAATTAAGACTGCAGAAGTGAGGGTACTGAAGAGGTAGGGACACTGGTTGTGGGTACAAAAGTGGGAGTGGATTCAAAGATCTACAGTGAGGCCCATAAGTGCACTGGTGGTGGGTGTGGTGGTGACAAACATTTGAGGTGATGAGAATCTATTCTCGAATCACATAGAGCAAGGAAAACTCGTGTTTCCTAGATTCTAAATAACTAAGAAATACTGAGACACTGAAAGGAAGCAAACTTCCAAAACATGTGGGATTCAGAAAATAACACTAAGAAGTAAATTTAAAGCATTAAACAATTACACTATCAATAAGAGGGATCTCACCTGAGCAACATAACTTCACACCTCCAGGAATTAGAAAAAGAATAATTTAAGCTCCATATTGGCAGAAAGGAGGACATTTAAAATGAAATAAAAAATACATAGATGTAACATCATGGCCAAAAAGCAGGTGCTTCTCCATGAAAGGAAGTCTGGATTTTGAAAGATCAACAAAATGGACAAAACCTAAGTTCAATTCAGTAAGAAGGAAAGGCAGAGGACTCGGTGTCCGAGAGGAGACGCCCCCAGGGAAAGTAAGACTAAGACTCCAGGACAAAATAGGAGCATGTCTGCAACCCCTGAAACAGAGCTTCCTAGACATATTTAGGATGCTTTCCTGTACCACTGCACCTGCCAGCTGCGGCCTCTGCCAGATTCATTCCACCTACCTGGGAGGAGGACGGGATTTGCACTTCTCTTCACATCCCAGGGCTCCACCTTTTGCTCCAACAAGACGACCAGGTCAGGCTTAGACATAGCAAGACCTGTTTATTAGGACAGGTGATATGAGATGGCCTGCAGATTTTCAAATTACCAATACAGGATTGTGCTCAGTAGAGAGGAGAATACAGAAGGTTCTAGAAAAGGATCACTGCAAATACTTTTTCTGACACCATCTTACCAGAAATCATTTAAATTTTCATATCCTGGGGCCTCCCTGGAGGTGCAAGGGGTTAAGGAGCATCCTGTGAAGCTGTCCGTGGCCTCTGTAGCGAGAGTTCAATCCCTGGCCGGCCAGGGAGTGGCCTACATGGCGAGGTGGACGTCTCCTGACTCGACCGCTGCTCCCCTCAGCAGTGTGCTTCGGTTGATCTGCTTGTTCTGTTCCCGGCTCTGTCTCTGGTGAGTCATTTCACCCCTCACACCTCTGGCCTGAACCCCAGCTCTTGTATGCATAAATAAATAAATCTTTAAAGAAATAAATTTTCAATCCTGAGAACCATTTCCAGACATCTGAGTCATAGGAATGTGCAATAACACACTGATTTTAGCTTGTAATAAGGAACTGATTTTCTTGAATGAGCACTAATAGAGCAGGCTGCAGATCACCTAAGAGAGAAGTTTAAGTCATGGTCAAACAGCATGAGACTTTCTTTCCAACAAACTCACACTGTTTTTCTGAAAATCAGGGATGTAAACGTAGCCTACAAATCTGGACATCCCAGGAGCACACACACATAGCACAGGAAACGGTGAGGGCAGATGAGGAAATCTGGAGGGATATTCTCCTCACCCAAGGATGCCAGGTTCCTGTAGGTCTCTAACATCACGTCTCGGTAAAATTCCCACTGTGCCGGGTCCAGGTAGTCCTGCTCCTCCTGCGAGAATTCTACGGCCACATCTCTGAAGGTCAAGGGTTCCTGAAATCAAAATATACAGTTACCATGTGGCCAACAGCGGAGCTCTGAATAGGGTATGAGGTGAAAAGAGAGTTTTGAGAGTATCCTCATGGTGGCACAAAGGGTTCAGTCTCAGCACTATGAAGCTACGACAACTACCGAAGGATGAGTTGGATCCCTGACCAGGGATCTGACTCACATGGCGCAGCAGACCTCTCCTGTCTCCCTGCTGCTCCCCTCAGCAGTGTATTTCAATAGATCTGCCTGTTCTGCTCCCCACTCTGTCTCTGGTGAATCATCTCATCCCCCACCCAATGCCCTGACCTCTGGTTTACATATAAATAAGTAAAATAAATCTTAAAAAAAGGGAGACCTGGTTCTAAGAGAGAAGAATGCCCTTATGAGACCCATGTTTACACAGTAACAGTCTAATGCACCCACTGAGCCCAGAAGATCACATATGCCCACAGAACCACCGTGGACGCTATAATTTCAGTGATGTCAAATCTGACCCAGGGCACACATTTGTACAGCAGGGAGGCAGGACAATTGGAAAATTCATAGTAGACTGACCTGAAAGACTGGAAGGAAATTGTAAATAATGATCAAATACTAAGCAGAACAACAAGAAAACAATCATATTTGAACCCTTGGTGTCCATTATATATGTTGAACTATGTTATCACTTTTTACAATTGAATACATGATAAAATTTGTTTATTTCTCTGAAAGTATAAACAAGTTATGAAGAGAATGTGTGTGAAAAGACTGGCATTTCCATTGATATTCACACCAAAAAGAATGAAATAGCTGTGATTATTTCATTCAAGTTAAAGAAGGAGGGGCCTCTCTAGTGGCACAAGGGGTTAAGAGGCAGCACTATGAAGCTATCTGCAGCCACTGCAGCATGAGTTCGATCCCCGGCCAGGGAGGTGACCCAAATGGCGCAGCAGACCTCTCCTGTCTCGCCCGCTGCTCCCCTCAGCAGTGTATTTCAGTCAGTCTGCCTGTTCTGCTCCCTACTCTGTCTCTGGTGAATCCTCTCACACAACCCCTTCTGCCATACCTCTGGCCTGCAGCCCAGCTCTTGTATACATAAATAAATAAATCTTAAAAAAAAAGTTAAAGGAGGTGAAGGACCTGAACACTGAAAATTATAAAACTCTAGTAAAGGAAACAAAAGATAAGAAGAAATAGAAAGATGTCCTGTGCTCCTAGGTGGGAAGAATTAACATCATAAATGGTTTATTGTCCAGAGCTATTTACAGAGCTAATACCTATCCACATACCAAGGAGGTTTTTTGTAAGAAAAGAGAACAATCACTGCATTTATGTGAACCCACAGAAGGTCCCAAATAGCAAAAAAAAATCTTGAGAGAAAAAGTGAAATGTAACGATCACACTTCCTGACTTCAAAATATATTAAATGCCAATGGTAATGAAAACATTATTTTACTGGAACAAAACCAGAACTCAGAGCAATGGAAGGCAATTAAAAACCCAGAAAGCAAATAATGAAATACGAAGAGTTCATCTTGGACAAAGGAGCTAAAATCATACAATTCAGACAAGACAGCCTCTTTAATAAATAATACTGGGATGGGGACCCCTGGCGGCCAAGGGGTTAAGAGTCAGTGCTATATATACAGCATGGCCATTCCAGGCCAGAGAGCTGACTCACATGTGGCACAGCAAACCTCACCTGTCTCCCTCACTGCTTCCCTCAGCAGTGCATTGCAGTGGATCTATGTGTTCTGCTCCTTACTTTCTTTCTGGTGGACCCTCTCAAGCCCAGAACATCTGGTCTACACCCCAGTTCTTCCATGCATAAATATATCTTCCTAAAAAATGGTTTCAGGAAACATGTATAGTGACTTGCAAAACTAAGAAGCAAGACCCATTCAAAACTCCATACAGAAAACTAATTCCAAATGGCTGAAACGTTTGGACATAAGAGCCCAAAGCATGAAGTACTGAAAGCAAATAAGGGGTACACTATAGGACAGCTGCTACAAAATGCATTAGGGAACACAACCCCAACACCAAGGGAAAGAAAAGCAAAATTCAACATGTGGGACAACACCAAACCTAAAAGCTTTTAGAACTCAAAAGAAACCAGCATAGAAACAGAAAGGCACCCTATAGAATATAAAAAATATTTGCATGTCACACATCTGACAAGGAGTTCATTCCAAAATTTATAATGTATCCGGGCCTCCCTTGTGGCGCAAGGGGTTAAGACACAATGCTAGGAGGCTATTCCCAGTCACTGCAGCATGAGTTTGAGCCATTAGAGCAGTACAGTCCCTGCAGATAACGGTGCAGAGATTTCTTAAAGAAATAAAAATAGAAATTCCATATGATCAGCAATACTTCTATAAGTTATTTATCCCAACGTGAAAACTCATTACAAGATTCATCTACACCTAAGAGCAGAGCAGCACTGTTCCCAACTGCCCAGCTAAGCTAAAGAAAACAAATCACTCACCAGAGATTTATCCATTGTCCACTGCTCTCAAAGATGCCAGAGGACTCTGGAGGCGGCGCTGGGAGAGGTGATGGAATCCTGCAGGAAAGGACTGAGGCAGCTGGTCCCGGGTCCTGGAGTCTCCTGTCCAGAGCGCTCCACACACTGCCTGGGAGAGACCAGAGTCACTGCGCGTGACAGCTGTGCTTACACTCTGAGAAGGAGCAGGAAAGGACCCACTAGTCCATTATTAATACTATCTGGGTTTACAATTTACCGTAAGTTAATAAAAACTGATGATTCCTAAGACTGACTAGTAGTCCATGTGAAGAACTAAACAAAAGTTTCAAAGATGATTAATCACTTAAAAAGGGCTTTCCCTGGTGGCCCAGGGGGCGGAGCCCAGCGCTGTGAAACGTTGCAGCACGGGTTTGATCCCCGAAGGCCAACCCGGGAGAATCCCACATCTCGCAGCAGAAATCACCTGTCTCGCCCACTGCTGCCCTCTGCAGTGTATTTCAGTCAGTCTGCCTGTTCTGCTCCCCGCTCTGTCTCTGGTGGATCCTCTCACCCTTCCGTGCATCTGGCCTGTACCCAGGTTCTTGTACGCATGAATAAATAAATCTTAAAAAAAAATCACTTAAGGGCCTCCCCGGTGGTGCAGCGGTTGAGCACTGGGTTGCGAAGCTGCCCGCAGCCTCTGCAGTGCCAGTTCGATCCCGGGCTGCTCCCCGGCCACCAGAGGAGGGTCCCACATGGTGCACAGACCTCTCCTGCCGCCCGCTGCTCCCCTCAGCAGTGTATTTCGTCAGTCTGCCTGTTCTGTTCCCTGCTCTGTCTCTGGTGAATCCTCTCACCCTCCCGCGCTTCTGACTGTACCCAGTGCTTGTATGTATAAGCAAACAAATAAATAAATAAATCTTAAAAAAAATTTAAAAAATGAATTAAAAAAATTGGACACAATTTCAAAGGAAATGATGCACCTTATGCACTTCTTTGGCAGGACGGACACTCCCAGGAATGGTTCCGAGAGCCCGGCTTCATGTCCTCGTACACCCCGGTGCCCATGCCCTGGATGTGCCTGGGGTGTCCCCCCAAGGGAAAGAGGGCGCACACGCACGGGAGGAAAAGCACTTTTCCAGGGGTCTGGCCTCCGGGACACCGTCCTCCTGGGGAGACCCGGGGTCACGGGCAGGCACGCGGTGGGGCGGCGGCCACGATAAACGGGCACAAAGGACGGGAAACTCTTACCCGCCGGGCCGGTCAGGGCCGGGACCTCCGCAGCCCGCGTGTCCTCGGGCCACGCCGCGAGGGACGCGAGACCCCGGAACGCAGCCCCGTCCGCGTCCGGAGGGAAACGGCGCGCGCTCCAGGGTGAGCTCGGGGTCTCCGGGAGAAAACGCTCGGGGACCCGCGGAAGCCACACCCGGGGCGGGCGCACGTGGCGGGGGTTCCGCAGCCCACGACAGCCGTCCCAGGGCGTCACAGCGCACGGAACTCCCGGAAACGCGGAGGGGCGGCCGTCGGGGGGCTCGCCCGTGTCCAGGGCGGGGACCCCGCTCCCCTCGCCCCCAGCCTCGCCCCCGCGGACCCTCCTGGCGCCTGTTCCGGGCCACGGGCCCCCTCACCCGCCTCAGGCCTCCCCGGCGCCTCCCCGCCGCGCCCGCCCCCGCTCCCGCACGCGGGTCCTCAGCCTCACCCCAAGCCCAGCCTCGGCGACAAGGCCGCTCGCAACCCGCGGCGGGGGAGCAGCGACCGCGGAGGCCCCGGGCCCCGGAAAGACGGGGAGGACGCGGGGCCGCGCCTGCGCAGACGAGGCCGGCGAGGCAGGACGCCCCTGGGCGGAGCCCTGGGCGGGAACCGCGTGTTCTCAGGAGACTACATTTCCCACAATCCCGTGTGCCGCGCGTCCGGGAGCGTCAGGCGCGCGTCCTCCCCCAGTGGGGCTCAGGGACATATTGGGTGGTGGGGCCACGTGAGCGCGGCCTTGCAGACCGCCCAGCGCGCCGGAACCGAGTCTGTTTGGCGAAGAAAAAGAGGAGAGTGTTTTGATGCCAGAGAAGTGGGTTCCTCTCACTCTGCTCTCTCCCTGCGCTTGGGGAGCTGCACCCCCAGGAGGGTGTTTAGGGCACACTCCCTGGACAGCATCTTGAATAAACCCATGTGAAGGCCTTTCTTGTGTCGTAGCTTTGCCTTTCTGGGCGCCAGTGAGAAACCGGTTTGGAGGCTCCCAGATGGGACTCTGTACCCTCAGACCCCATTCTCTCCATGCACCGTGTTGTTAGGAGTTGGCGCCTCAACTCCTTCCGGGGTTCCCAAAAACTACACGGAGCCAGAGATGCAAAAGCAAAAAAGCTTTATTGCTAGCTTAAGCTAGGGCCCGACTCTGCCTGGTGTACTGACACAGCAGTCTCATCAGGTTGAGAGAAGGACCCCTTTAAGGGTGACAAGTTGTTTTTTATACTCTGTTACAGCAGAAAAAAGGGACCTTTCATATCAGAAAAAGGGGACCTTTCACAATGGGGACCAAGTTCAATCTGATTGTGTACCTTTCTTTGGCAGCCTTTAAGTTTCGTTCACCCTGGCCTTGTGGTTCTTGTGGTTTTACCCTGCAACGGACAGCTGTGCTCTTTAAAACGGTCGTTTTTCCTTAAAATGGCTGCTGTCTTGCTATGTTTAGTCCTTTAACATCTTACAGTGTGAGGGCTTAGAGTTGCTGGAGGCCTCCAGGCTGAGCCAGGGTCCTTCCACCTGTATCTTAAAAGGTCTGATTTTGAGGGGCTCGCAGTCTCCTCATTTCTCGCTAAATGGGCTTTTAACGACATTTTCCATCCTGCCAGACAGATTTTAAGAGTTACTGCATCCTGACCAAAAACTAAGCAACTGCTGTGTGACCCACTACCAGCACTGCCTGCCTGTGACGGACATCAGGCCCAGAGACACACACTCTCTTCCCACACATTCTGTCATTCCTAAATAATGCCTCCTAATATATTTACATGTAGTGTTCAACATGTATCACAGCCATGAGAGTGTTCGTTGTATAGGCCGTGAAAATGGACTGTTAAATTGGGTACGATTTTATAGGTCCTGATTGAGAATTGCCGAGGCATTGCTTCTCATTGTACATGTGACTAGTTAAAGTAGAAATTGTTAAGAGTCACAGTTCAACAGAAGACCAGACAAGGAATGGAAATAGAGGAATTTATGACACAGAGATACTGATAAATGTCCACTCACACCTTGTGCAGCTATGTGGATGCGTCAGAGTTCAGAAGGAGAGAGTTGCAGGAAATGGGGCATGTGAATGTATTAGGCTACCTAACTGGAGTGCTTCAACTTTTCTGAACTGAGATTATATTATTTGAGGTAAACCTAAAACAGTAAGACTATTGCCCACTCTGTGGAGGTCCAGGGCCAATCATGGGGAGGGCCTGTGAGGGACTACCATTGCCAATATGTGCAAATGAGCTCATGTAAAGAAATTATATGTTTGTGATTCTTCAGGGTGTGATTGAGGCAATGTAGCAAGATCCTCTATGAGGGTACCATGGAGTGTTGGACGAAAGTTCTTGACAATACTTCTACATAATTATCAATATACACATTACAACGTCCACTGTTACTAAACAGACAAAAGTGTAGTTGTTGCAAAATACAATCAAAACTATTTAGATTTGAGGCCTGTGTGAATGGAGCCTGACACTGTGTTGACAACCAGTTTATTGTTCCTATAGTTTACCAAATCCTTGAACAAGGAGGAATTGGTTAATGTTGATGAAGGATAATGTAATCAGGGTCTCCCTGGTAGCCTAGAAATTAAGTCTCACCCTTATTACTGCTAAGGCCTGAGTTTGATCCAGGCCAGGGAGCTTACCCACATGGCACAACAGACCTCTCCTTTCATGCCCGCTGCTCCTCTTCACAGTGTATTTCATTTACTCTGCCTGTTCAGCTCCTAACTCTGTCGCTGATGAATCCTCTCACCAACGGCACCACTGGCCTACATTCTTGTTCTTCTATGCAAAAAAAAAAAAAATACAAATAAAGTTATCAAATATACCTGAGGATATACACATAAAAATCAGTCGGGTTTATGGGCCTCCCTGGTGGCAGAAGGGTCAAAGTCTTAGTGGTATCAAGCTGTCGCTAGACACAACAGCATGAGTTCGATCCCCAGGCAAGGAGCGGACCCACATGGTGCAGCAGAACTCTCCTGTCTGGTCCGCTGCTCCCCTTCACAGTGCATTTCAGCAGATCTGCCTGTTCTTCTCCCTACTCTGTCTCTGGTGAATCTTCTCACCACCGCCCCAACCCAACCTCGGCTTCAACCTCTGATCTTATATGCATAAATAAGTAATTTTTTTTAAAAAAATCAGCTTTATTGAAACATACTTAGTTCAGCTACCAGTGTATGCTCTTTGGTCAAAATCAAGTTGCAGGCATTTAAGAAGCATTCTTGTTCTTCTGATTCCTGAATCCCATTGTTGGTGGTCAACATAGAGGCTCATTACTTAGCTAATGTGCACACACACAACTCTATGCTCTGTGTTTGGAAAGTCACCTGTTCTTTCATCATATGCCTGTGAAGATTTCTTTTGGAAATGTTAAATAATAGTCCTGATCCCTATTACTACCATGAAGATACATCAGGATTTTAATCAGCTGTCAGCATATTTCCATAAGGAGAAATTGATGAAATGATTTGAACTCCAGCATGTTCCTATGTCTGACTTTTATGCCAACGATGAAGGCCATACTCGTCTTGGTGATTTAATTTTTTTTAAAGATTTATTTATTTATTTATACAAGCACTGGGTACAGTCAGAAGCGCGGGAAGGTGAGAGAATTCACCAGAGCCAGAGCGGGGAGCAGAGCAGGCAGAAGGACCAAAGTACACTGCTGAGGGGAGCAGCGGGCAGCAGGAGAGGTCTGTGCGCCATATGGGACCCTCCTCTGGTGGCCGGGGAGCAGCCGGGGATGGAACCGGTGCCGCAGAGGCCGCGGGCAGCTTCGCAACCCAGCGCTCATCCGCTGTGCCACCGGGGAGGCCCCCGTCTTGGTGATTTAAATCAATGTTTTGGGTCAACTAGAAGCAGTACCTCCATTCAGAGGTTCTTGATACATGGCACAGTACTGTCCTAAATTTACCTGCAAGATAGACAAGAACAAATCCATCTACTAGGAGAATCTCTCAGATGTTTGAGGCAGCAAAAAAGCGAACGCATGACTTCACACACACAAGGGGAGAAAGCCAGAGAATGGAGTGAATTAGAGCTGTGTTACATTCATCCCCACTTCATAATATCCCAAGTGTGACTGATAAAAAGTACACAAAAATAATTATATCTCAACCATCATATTGAATATTTTCTACACTCTCGACATTCATAGGGTTTGGCTCCAATGTGAGTTTCTGATGTACAGTGAGGTGTGATTTCCTGTACAATGTTTTCTTACACTTTAGACATTCATAGCGCTTCTCATGTTCCATGACTTCCCAGAAGGTTACACTTTGACAGGAGAGTTTTCCTACACTCTTGACTATCATAGAGTTCCTTTGTGACTTCCTTGAAGTACAAAGAGGAGTGATTTCCGGTGGAACGTTTTCTTACACTTTGAACTTTCATAGGGTTTTTCTGGTGTGAGAGTTGTCTGATGAACACTCAGGCCTGACTTGTGACAGAATGATTTCTTACATCCTTTACATTTATAATGCTTCATGCCTGTGTGAATTTTTTTAAGATTTATTTATTTTACAAGAACTGGGGTACATCCCAGCCGGGGGGAAGGGTGAAAGGATTCACCAGAGAGAACAAGAGCAGGGAGCAGAACAGGCAGATGGACTGGAAACATTGCTGAGGGGAGTAGGAGGAGAGACAGGAAAGTTCTGCCTGCACTGCAGGGTAAATGTTTTTTCAGGCTTTTCTGCCCTCCCACAATTAGGATCGCCCCTGCTTGAGGGGGCACCTATAGTGTTACATTATTGCAAACTGTCTTATTTACTTCTGTGGGCCATGGGAGGAGTATTGAGAGATTCACCAAGAGAAGCAGAAGCAGAAAAGCAGAAGAGGCAGGAGAGAGAACGGTAGAAAGGAAGTCAGAGAAGCCCAGACTTGCCGGGAGCTTGGAGGCCTTCTGGCCTCCTGGCCCCCAGGGAATCTCTGCCTGCCATGTACCTGTTTGCCACACTACATGAGAAAGCTCAATAAAAGCCTGAGAAAGCCACTGAGGGCTCCAGGACTCTCCTTTACCCGTCTGCTGGATCAGAATACCTGCTCAGTGCCCATCCTGCCCCTACAGGCACCATGTAGGTATCTCCCTGGCCCGCCCAGAATCGAACCGGCACTACAGAGGCTGCAGACACCTTCACAGCACTGTGCTCAACCTGCTGCACCACCGGGGAGCCCCCTTATGAGTTTTGATGTACACTGAGGTCTGTCTTCCAGGAGAAAGGTTTCCCACTTTCTTTATAGCCAAAGAACCTTGTAGTGACACTTCCCTGATACCTTTTGTGTAAGGAAATATCAGATGTTTCAGAAGGTTTATCACCTCTTTGTATTTTCTCATGCTCAGTAAAAAGACATTTCAGACATTTCACCACATGTATTATATTAAAAAATATTCTGTTCTAATAGAGTTCTCTCAAGCTGACTGACATGAAATTGAAGCTGAGTTTACCCCCACTTTCATTACATGTATGCTGTTCATCTTCAAAATGTTGATGAGTCAAATGTACTGGTTTCTCATCAATACATTTCCTCCTTTTGTTAAATGTACAGGGAGTCTTCCCTATTTGAGTTTTATCTTAACCAATGAAAGGTACCATATCATAGGTATGCTCACATTCATTGTATTTCCAGGCAGTCTGTCCCATAAGAGCACCTCGATGTGTAAAGAATATTGCTTCTTTGTTGAAGGCTATCCCTTGTTCATGTAAGTGAAAAGGGTGCTGAAAAGGTGGGATCATCTGATGACTACAGTGCTCAGGATACCTTACAGTTTCCCTAGTCATACTAAAGCCCCCAAGTTTCTTTGTAGCACGCATCTCATGAGGCTCAGCAGGGATAAACATGTTCTCACATACAGCAAAATTCTCAGGCATCAATGCTGAAACGTTTCCATTTCTGCTATTAAGGTTCAAACTATGACTTGAGTCCAAATAATTTGTTTTCCCAAAGTTCCTCCATGGTTGATGTTTTGCTGTTGGCAACAACAACTTGCCTCAAAAGTGTCCTGATTTGGCTGGTTGGCTTTAATCAGGTACTCCACAGTATGGACATCTAAAAGTAGATAAAAATAGGGTCTCGCCGGGCCTCCCCTGGTGGCGCAGCAGTTGAGCGCTGGGCTGTGAGGCTGCCTGCAGCCTCTGCAGCACCAGTTTGATCCCCGGCTGCTGGCGAGGGTCCCACATGGTGCACGGACCACTCCTGCCATGCCCGCTGCTCCCCTCAGCAGTTATTTCATCAGTCTGCCTGTTCTGCTCCCTGCTCTGACTCTGGTGAATTCTCTCACCCTCCTGTGCTTCTGACTGTGCCCAGTGCTTGTATGAATAAATAAATTTAAAAAAATAAAATAAAAGTTAAAAATAACCATCTCTGTGAACATCTAAACATTTCCTGTGAATGTTAATATAAAGGCACAAAGTTGCTTTACTACAACACAAAACAAAACAGAGTACCTGGTTTTGATTTTCTGATTGAAATTTCTACCCCAAACAAATTATATAACATTAAAAGAATAGATTTCCTATGGCCAAAACAGGTTGAAAAGCAATCAGTAATGCGTCTTTCATATTGCATGACTTTTTATATTCATGAAGAAATATTTGGTAAACATATTCAATTAACTCTAGATGAAGATGACAGCTAGTAGCATTTAATCTACCATTTAGCCTGCATTCTACTGTTGTTCCTATAACTATGTGACTTAAGTGGTACTTTTTGAACAACAATGCTTTCTAGATGTCATCACTTTCCTGGAAAATCTATTTATCAGATGTGAGTGAGGGACATGTTTTAGTCACTTCAGCAAGACTATTGCTTTGAAAATAAGGATTCTGCTTCTACTTTTCTTCAGTTTTTACTTCTCCTTGGCACAGGCCATAGTCATCTGGGTTCTTTTTTTTTTCTTTTTTTAAAGTCACATCATGATCATTGTGGGGGAGAGGGGGCAGATACATTACAGGAAATTCTTTTTTTTATTATATTTTATTTTTTTTAAGAGGCATGTTTTATTTATTTATTTGTTTGTTTGTTTGTTTATACATGCACTGGGTACAGTCAGAAGCCCGGGAGGGTGAGAGAATTCACCAGAGCCAGAGCGGGGAGCAGAGCAGGCAGAAGGACCGAGGTACACTGCTGAGGGGAGCAGCGGGCGGCAGGAGAGGTCTGCGCACCATGTGGGACCCTCCTCCCATGGCCAGAGAGCAGCCGGGGATGGAAGCAGCGCCGCAGAGGCCGCGGGCAGCTTCGCAACCCAGCACTCAACCGCTGCGCCACTGGGGAGGCCCCCATTACAGGAAATTCTTAATTAAACATTACAATACAGGCTTCTCAGAACCTCGACAGAAATAGAAAACTGGCTCACCCTTTTGTCCAACTTTAACTTCTGCAATCCAGGCCGTGTTAGTCACCATTAAAAAGCAATTTTTATATCCTCTGAAATCATCACTCCTGATAGTTTCACTCCACTCCTCGGAACGAGTGTTTCAATGTGATAATTCATGGCATTGGACCATTTTATCTAGTATTTTAGTTTTAGCTATCTCATACTTACATAATTGGAGTCCCAAGTATTTATCTTATTCTTTTGCTTTCTTCCCAGTGATTCCCACAGGAGGATATATAACTGCACATTGCAAACTGCCGAGATGTGAGCCCCCAACCTGAAACTCTGGGTTCCATGGCTTTAGAAACTACATTCTCCAGTTTCCTCTCCTGTGTCACTGATCATCACTTTTTCTGCTTCACGATTTGCTGGGTGCTCTTCAAGTCATAGTTTCTGGTGTGAGTGGGGTCACAAGACTCATCGTTGGAAGACTATTCATATTCTAAGTAACATTCTATTCAACCCCCTCTCATTCTATCACATTTGAGTTCATCAGCTGTTAAATAAATATACCTTCAACAGACAGGCACAACCTCTAACCCAGATAGATTATATAACTATATACAGTGCATGTCAAAATGCAATTCATCTCAAACTAGAGCTCGACAATGAAAAGACTCCATCTCCATAACTAAGCCTTGAAAGCACTCACTCTGAAATAACCTCCATGGTTTTCTCTCATCCTAGCTAAACATTCTCTGTGGCTTTATCTCACAATTTGATATACTTATTTACTGCATTTTCCTTCCTCACAGAACATAATTTCAATAAAGCACAGAACATTTCTTTGATTATAGTATTTCACAAATACAAAATTTACCACCGTCTAACACTTCCCATGAACGTGCTGAAAGAATAAACAAATGGCTGAGGAAAATACCTGAACAAAAACGGTCCATTGAGAATGCAGGAATATTGCAAATATGGAAAACATGCCTAATGCAGAAAAAGTTAGAGAACAGTCAGGAAGGAGACACCGGACAGGTCTATGAAAATTAACCACCATTCAAAAACTAGGGGAAGACTGACAAGAGAGTCATAATTGAAACTGACTGATGAACACGTCTGATTCAGGCAGACAAACTGTCCAAGGTTTGGGGATCAGGATAAGTAGCTCCATATGGTCAATGTCTGCCAGTCTCAGTTCCTTCCAGCCTCCCTGAAAGATGTACATTGACTGACATGAGAAGTGCTGGTTTTGGGGTTCTTTATGGTCATTGGCTCTGCTCCCTCCTCCAAGCTGATGCTCACCTCAACATTATTAACACAATGTACTTAAACAAAAAACAATTTTAGGGCCTTCCTGGCGGGGCAAGGGTTTAAGCACAGCACTGCAAGGCTATCCGCAGCTCCTGCTGCAGGAGTTCAACCCCTGGCCAGCCAGGGAGCCACCCACATGGTGCATCAGACCCTCTCCTGTATTGCCTGCTGCTCCTCTCAGCAGTGTATTTCAGTCAGTCTGCCTATTTTGTTCCCCACTCTGTCTCTGGTGAATCCTCGCACCTCTAGCCTGTACCCCAGTTCTTGTATGCATAAATAAATAAAACTTAAAAAAAAACAATTTTGGTCCTTGATCAAGTTGCATACGCTTCAGTTTTGGATAAATGACAAAAGCAGATGCAAGACTATGCATATATTTAACAGTGTAGAAGACAGTGGTTACACTTGAGGATTACAAAGGTGTTTCCTTGCCTGGTGACACCAGGGACTGTAGGTCTCCAGCATCACATCCCAGTACAGGGTCATCTGAGCATCACTGAGGTCCCGCCACACCTCCCAGATGAAGTTCACAGCCACGTCCTCAAATGACACCATCCCCTGTGAGGGAACATTCTTCTTCACTTCAGGGCCATCAGCCTGGGTCAGAGAACAGCAAGTGTGAAAGCATAATCTTCTGTGGGTCTTTGATCTTGTATAGGATGTACTGGTGGTTTTTTTTTTAAAGATTTATTTTTATTTATTTAAAAAAAATTGTTTATTTATTTATATAAGCACTGGGTATAGTCAGAAGCGCAGGAGGGTGAGAGGATTCACCAGAGCCAGAGCGGGGAACAGAACAGGCAGAGTAACGAAATACACTGTTGAGGGGAGCAGTGGGCGCAGCGGGAGAGGTCTGCGTGCCATGTGGGCCCCTCACCAGTGGTTGGGGATCAAACCTGCGCTGCAGAGGCTGTGGGCAGCTTCACAGCCCAGCGCTCAACCCCTGCGCCACCAGGGGAGGGCCAAGATTTATTTTTTAGGAACCTACCTGGTTGTGCAGTTGGTTGAGCGCAGCACTATGAAGCTGTCCACAGCCTCTGCAGCACGGGTTCTATTTCTGGCTGGCCAGGGAGATTCCCACATGGCGGGCCAGACCTCTCCTTTCTCGCCTGCTGCTCCCGCCGGCAGTGTACTTTGGTCCTTCTGCCTGTTCTCCCTGCTGTGTCTCTGGTAAATTCTCTCACCCTCCCGTGCCTCTGGCCTGTACCCCAGTGCTTGTATAAATAAATCAATCTTTAAAAAAAAAAAAAAACTGGGACTCCCGGCTGGCGCAGCAATTGAACGCTAAGTTGCGAAGCTGCCCACGGCCTCTGCAGCGCCAGTTCGATCCCCGTCTGCTCCCTAGCAACTGGAGGAGGGTCCCGCATGGCGCGCAGACCTCTCCTGCCGCCCGCTGCTCCCCTCAGCAGTGTACTTCGGTCCTTCAGCCTGCTCTGCTCCCCGCTCTGGCTCTGGTGAATTCTCTCACCCTCCTGCATTTCTGACTGTACCCAGTGCTTGTACAAATAAATAATATTTTTTTTAAATAAAATAAAAAACTTAAAAAAAAGATTGGTATTTTATTTATGCATACAAGACCTGGGATGCAGGCCAGAGGTACTGTGGGGCATTGCAGGGCTTCAAGAAGCTTCACCAGAGACAGAGTGGGGAGCAGAACAGACAGACTGACTGAAATACACTGCTGAGGGGAGAAGCAGGTGAGACAGGAGAGGTCTGCTGTGCCATGTGGGTCAGCTCCCTGGGTTGAAATGGAACTTGTGCTGCAGTGGCTCCGGATAGCTTCATAGTGCTGAGACTTAGCCCCTTATGCCATCAGAGAGGACTCTGAACTGTCAATTTACTCTAAATTTTGATAGGAAGAGACTACACAGAGAAAATATCCTTACCTCTGGATTAACTCATTATTTCCTCAAAGCACTTTTAATAGCTTACCTTATAAATTCACACTTCATCATTTGTAAACCCAGATGTCATGAAAGGTGAGAACAATTCCCTGACCTTGAATTGCATGTCTACTTAGTGAAAATAACTTTTATTCTAACATTTAACATAGTTGATTCATATTGTACTGTACTTACATTAAAGAGGAATTATATCTCTAAAACAAAAGAATGAAAACATTTTCGTAATGTATAAAAGTGTATATCTTCTTGAAAATAGAATAAATGGGTGAATCAGTCAGTCAGGACTGGTCATTAGCTTCCACCTTGTCTTAACATTGATTTCTCATTGCTTTTTGTTTGATTTTAAGAAACAAATATAGGGGCCTGCCCGTGGCGCAGCGGTTGAGTGCTGGGTTGCAAAGCTGCCCATAGCCTCTGCAGAGCCTGTTTGATCCCTGGCTGCCAGCAAGGGTCTCACATGGTGTGCAGACCTCTCTGGCTGCGCCCACTGCTCCCCTCAGCAGTGTATTTTGTCAGTCTGCCTGCTCTGTTCCCCGCTCTGGTGAATTCTCTCACTCTCCTGTCCTCTGACTGTACCCAGTACTTGTATAAATAAATAAATATATTTTTTTAAAGAAACAAATACAGCACATAAAACTCTGATGATATCCACTCTACCTGAAAAATGCAACCTACAAGAGAATAGAAAGCAGCCCTGGTCAAGGACTCAGACCTTGTAAGAACATATATGCCATGAAAAAAGTGCTAATCAAGAGAAAGTCATTTTCAGAGGGCCCCCCAACCAGACAGAGCATGCTTTGATCTTATGGGGACTGTATGCAAATATCATTAAATTTAGACAAGCACAGAAATGGTAATCCAGAACAGTTCCCAGTGTGTTGACTTTCTTTTTGCCCTGATTTATTCTCCCATAAACACAAGACAATCCAAGATGAAATACAATATGTAAAATCAACCTTGAGATCACCTATTTCATTTCTATGAGAAATATAAAAATAACATATCTAAGCAGGAAGAAGAATATATTCAATTCTAATCACAATATTTTTAGGTTAAGCATACAGAGAACTGCATCTCTTCA